AAAATTATCGCCCAATCTCGCTCACATGCATATGTTGCAAACTCCTCGAACACATAATCGCCTCCCACGTATACAGTCACCTCGAGACTAACAAATTCTTCTTTTCAAACCAGCACGGATTCAGAAAGGGCATGTCATGCGAAACACAGTTACTAGAATTCACTACAGACATTCATTACAACATAAATAATGGCCTACAGACTGATTGCATATTTCTTGATTTCGCCAAAGCATTCGATCGTGTCGCCCATTGTCGCCTTATTTCAAAATTATCTGCCCTCCGATTAGACTCCCTCACTTTATCTTGGCTACGCAATTTTCTGTCACTTCGCAAGCAGTTCACAATCGTTAATAATTCTTCCTCTCCCTCTTCGTATGTCTCTTCTGGCGTCCCACAGGGGAGCGTTCTTGGCCCATTACTTTTTCTTATCTACATCAACGACCTCCCAACTAACATATCATCGCATATCAGAATCTTCGCTGATGACTGCATGCTCTACAGACCTATAAACTGTCCTAACGATCACTCCATCCTTCAAGATGATCTGAACACTATTTCTAACTGGTGCAGCACTTGGCTTATGAGGTTGAATACTAATAAGTGTAAAGTTGTTTCTTTTGGACGTAAACAGGTCATATCTAACTTCACTTACCATATGCAATGTGACAGGCTCTCCACGGCGACTTCTTACAAGTATCTTGGCATCCACCTTACACCAGGGCTTTCCTGGTTTGATCACATCACTAACGTTTGTGCAAAAGCCTCCAAAACATTGGGGTATTTACGCCGAAACCTTCGTCGTTGTCCCACTAACATTCGCAAAATGTCATACCTAACTTTCGTCCGCCCGCAACTTGAATATGCCTCATCTGTTTGGTCCCCTTCCGCTCAGTATCAAATTAACATGCTGGAAACAATCCAGAACAGAGCCACCCGTTACATTTCTAGAAACTATGACATCAATTCCAGTGTGACTCAGCTTAAACTCCATCATTCCCTCCAAGCATTAAATGTTCGTCGTCACGTGTCCTTGTTATGCCTATTTCATAAGTACGTCTACAGTAACAAAACATCGTCGTTGCACCTTCAACGCCCGCTCTACACGTCACGCAGATTACATAACCATCTCAGCTTCACTCGCATTTTTGGAAACACGAACGCGTTCAACACATCCGCACTACCACAAGCCATCCGCATGTGGAATGATCTTCCCGACGATATCGCCTCTGATAGCAACCCCAACACGTTTCGGCAAAAAGTTCAGACGCATTTCCTTAATATTTCATCTTGACGTTCTTTTACTTCTTTTCCGAGGGTTTTTATGTTACGGAGTGTTCTTATATACTTCATCGCCATGTTTACGTATTGCTGACTTATTGCTTTGTTAATTTTTTTTGTTATTACTAACCGACATTGTACCGTTTTTTTTTTGAAATTTACATGCGATTTTTCACTGTAACCCCCCTTACTCAATGCCTTCTGGCCTGTAAGGTATTTTCAATAAATAAATAAATAAATAAATAAATACTCTTATTAAGCATGCCAATGTCCAAGTAAAGATATGGTGCAGTTCCAGAGATATAAATCTTAAACCAGGATAACCTACTTGGCACACGATGCCTCGTTAACAGGGCTGAGGCAGAAATATCTTGTGGAGGGAGGAGGGCACCCTATTTTTTGAGGGAGGGGACACCCTCTTTGAAATTGTAATTTTTCGCTTTGTAAGCCATGGCAAAAAAATTGGGTCGGAGAAGCACAGGCCCGGTATGCCACATCCTGGATACGTCACTGCCCCTGGAACAGCTCCTCTGTTTAAAACGTTTCAATGTTTATTATTTCTATAGAGTTTTAAAGCACTATAGTTGAAGGTGTTACGACTGGGTGTCCACACTGAACGTCAATGCCTCTGCAAAGGCAATTTGTGTCAAGGCCAGCGCTCGAGCCCACCTGACGCAATCAACTCAACGACGTCATCAAGCGGCGGTGCCGGTCTGTCACGCAACGCACAACAAGCTCTCTCAGCCCACGAGCCCGTTGAAGCAATCGGCGCCTTCCAGTCTGGTGAGTCTTATGCAATGCGTGGCGACGTCACTCGTCCTTGACTGCAATCACGCGCAGCGGCTCCAGATTTCATGAGCATCTCTTAGTGGTTCTAAGAGAGGAAGGAAGAGAAAAGTGAGCCCCGTAACTGTCTGCTTCAGGGAGCTACACCTCAACAGTAGCTCACAAGGGATGGGGGGGGGAGGAGGAATTAAAGGGATAGGAATAAAGGTGTAGAGAGAGAGAGAGGGAAACAGTATGCCAGAGAGCGAGCGCGACGACATATCGAGGGGATAGGAGAGATAGGAAAGATGGAAACACGGTCACAGGAGTCCGAGGACGGGGCACCACTTGTGAGAGCTCTTGTCGGCGTGAGTAGATGGCGTAGAGCAAGTCCAGTCGGTCAGAGCTACACTGTCGTTGAAGGTCGTCGGCGTCAGGAGATTACGTAGGGCGAGCCCAGTCGGCCAGAGCTACGCTGACGTCGGAGATCGTGAGGGCACAACTGGTCGGCACGGAATCCAGCTAGCGAGTCCTTGATGAGCATGACGCTGCCCAGTGGCGCGCCCCAATGGAGGATTCTGACATCACGGCAAGCGGCGCTTCTGGTTAGACGTTTGGTGACTCAAAGGATCCACCCGGTGCCTATAAAAAAAAGCCCTGCGGTGCGTCGCCAGCAGTAGAGCTTTGTATCAGAGAAGCCTCTCGTTGCGTCGAGCCCCTTTCGCAGTCGGCGTGCCCGGTGTCCTGGACAGCGGCGAGTTTCGTGGCGCCCTTCGTAACCTCTTCGGCGGTGCGCTCCGTAACAGAGAGAGAGAAGCCGACGGATGCATGCGAGAGAAGACATCTCGGCTCTTCGAGTCCCTAAGCTGTGTCGGCCCCAGTGCCGAATTTATAACGCCTCTATTTCTATGCTGTACATAAACCTTGCCTTAACTCACCGTCGTCTCATCCGCTCGTCTATCAGCTCTGCTCATAAGCAGTCGCGAGCTGAGTAACACACGCTACCGAATGGCTGGTGACCTTGGCGGCGGAGTTCGGAGCAGTGGCGCCTTCGGGCCCATGTTGGTGTCTCGCCTTCGTAACAAAGGGCACGTGTCGCAGAAATTTTAATGTGGGCGCCTGGGTCACTAGTTGTGAGCGAAAATTTGAGATAGATACCAGTGAGTAAGCAATAAAAAATCTTGGGTCAGAAAGGGTATCAAACCCAAGAGTTCTGCGCGACAAGCATAAGTTATACGACAGAGCTATACGCAAGGCCATGAAACTGCTTCTGAAAGAAAGTCTATACGAATTTCATGTATTGCCAGGAGTCTCCTTCACGCATGTAACATAGAATGTAACACGGAAGCATGTAACATAGAAGCGTACAATTGAACACTACAAGAGCAAGAAAGAAAAAGAGAGAGAGAGAAATGTTTATTTACAGAATGGTGGAGAAGTCAAAACATGTGAACTGCGAAGCGAGTAGTTGGTTTAAAAAAGTGCCGATTACAAAACGCCCAGGCATAACTAGTCATCATTTCAAGCTACAGCCCCAGCAAATTGAGCAGCTGTGCAGGTGCGTGTGCAGCTTTGCGTATTCATACTGGGCACTTCGCCAATTCTCAAAAAAAAGTTATCTAACGCAGTGGGTACTTGGCAAGTGTACTTGCATTGGGAATTAAACCTAAGTTGACAACGGCCACTGTTACGCACGCAGATGCTCTTTTCATTGCGGATGGTTAAAGTGGCCGCCCAGAAGTAAAGTTATAATTATACGCAACCAGTTCATGAGGTGGGGAGGATGAGGCCCGATCACACTTAAGGTGAAGCTTAAGCATCCTCCCAGTTTTTTTTGCAATAACCAAGCGTTTTATATTTCAACACTAATGCAAATTTTCGTCCATGGTGCAATTGCCTTGTTGAACTTTATTGATGACCCTACTGAAGGTCAGGCTCAAGCGTTATGGAAGTTTTTTTTTTACTTGAATGGGCCAAAGTTATTCTGGTCAAAACTGATAGCTATATAGAAGCACACTGAACTAACAGTTATTTAATTATTTATTAACATCTTACCGTAAGGCAGAGGTGCAAGCGAGAGAAAATATTTCTTCTTTATGTAATGCTTATTCTTATTCAGGAATCAGGATTATACTATTTAGGGCTCGATAACAGCAAAGTGTATTCATAATACTGCACCTGTTCTACCGGGCTATCGCGCTGACACTTAGAGAATGACATAGGTATATTTGCTACATTCCGCTTCATTTTTGTCTTCTTTGAAGACTGGTCCACCGGCACCTTTGTTGCACATTTCGCGATTGAATATCTCGAAACAAGCGCAATCTTGGGCACGTTCTGTGTTAGAAGGTTCTATAGAGCCGCACGGAGTGCGAAGCTCATATAACGGTCAGCAGTGAGAACGGCAACAATAAATTGCAGTGCTGTCAATCATTTCGTAGTTTGTTAGGCAAGGAACTCGCGCGGAACGGGAGAGATGTCGTTCCATCGGAGAAAACAAATAAAGAATGGCAACCAGATTACTTGGAATGGATTGAAACTTAAGCACTCAGGCGGCATAGTTGGATTAGCCTGCTTTTCTTATGCCAACTCCGAGCCGATAGTTTGCAAAATGCACTTCCCCCACCCCCGCGCGCTGAACGTGTATGAAATTGCGACGTACTCCGCCTAGCGTCCAGTCAAGATATGAGGACAAGTAAATTGGTAATGTGATCACGCTCTTCAATGCCAAGCTTTGCGAAACAATTCTTCTCAGTGTCGACTTATAATACTCTATTTCTTCATGCGTCGAACATCATTCGGAATTCCCTGAGCTCACCCATTGGCTGTTTGTTCCCTCTGTTGTCGTGCGACGTTGCAATCAGTTCTATAACAGAACACGCTGAAGGTTGCGCCCAAGTATGCTTGAATGATAAAAATAGAAAAAAAATGTATATGTTGGCGTTGACCATTGCAGGCATGCGCATCACGGGGGCACCGCCAGCTGCGCTGATGCAAGTGGAAGACACTTCTGCCAATGCCCATTCCACCAGAGATGCCCAGGCAAAGCAAATTGGCTGTTGTAGCCGTACGGACAGGCCTTACGCTTGTCCCGTTTGCCACTACCGCTACTTTTCTATCGAGTGGCTGCGTCGACACATTGACATCCACAATCGTGTCAAGCCGCTCAAGTGCAATCGGTGTGACCGCTTGTACTGGGGGCGACCGGCGCTCGTCAGGCACAGGGCATATGTACACAGAATATCAAGGCCCGAACGTACTTTTAAGCCTCAATAAACAATAATTCATACGATGAACTCTGCTACACATCATCCCAACACTTTCTTCGAAGTGGCTTTGAGCGGGCCCTAAAAGTTCTGAGCACACGAATGCGTTGCAGCGCGCCAGCGCGTGACTTTTTGACGCGTCCTCTTTCCATGATGACAGCTATAGCGCGAGAACAGAACGAACACACAGACACAAGAAGGACATGAAGGACACGGGCGCAAGTCCTTGTCTCTGTGTGTTCGTTCTGTTCTCGCGCTATAGCTGTCATCACGTCATACCAACTAGCCCGAGCTGCCACACAGTCCTCTTTCCATTGAGACAGGACGCACGTTGGCGCGAAGCTTCATGCTAGCTCACTTCATAGGAAGATGGTGCGGTGCCACGTAAAAAAAAAAAAAAAAAAAAAACCCCGCTGACTCGTCGCAACGCGTACTTGTGATCAGGCCTTAACGCATCATGGCTCTGCTACGCGTGCATTCGGTTTATATAGGCAGAAGCTACCACCCGACTGAAAAGACACCTGTTCTTCAAAAAAGATGCGCATAGAGTGTCTGTAGTCATGCACGGTCGCTATGTGCGTGGTGTCTTCTCTTTTATACCTGCACTAACTTTTCGGGACGACCATGAGCAATTGAACCACTAAATGCACTTGATAGACCTTTTTAACGATTCCCAAAGCACTCCGGGTGAAGTGTGCACATCGCGCGAACCGACTCTTCTGTCGCCGACTGCTCGTTGGGGCCTTCGTTGCAAGAGAAACACAGGTCGCCGCTTCTTCACTGTTGTTGCATGATAAATGCACTGCAAATATCCAAAGGCATCTGGGTGTGTCTACGCAGGGAGCATAAAAGCAATAACTCAGTAAGAGTAGAAATATAACTTAGGGGGCATTTACCGGACGTCAGTTAAGCAGCATGCTTTTTATCACCTTGTTAAGACGCACTAATGCGAGTACAATGAGAATGAACACAGAATTCCTGTTTATTCAGCTACTCTACTTACCTTGGACAAACTTCCTCACATCCCCAACCCCATCCATTCTTCTTGGGAGTCTGCACTGCTATGCTTACGCCGGCAGGATAAGCAACAGCTGGTCCAGTGGACTCGCAGGGTGGCGCGAGGCAATGAAGCCCTGGACTGAGGGTCCCAGCCAACGAAGGCTCTCTGCATATATACACTAGTCAATGAAAGTTTATTCTCTCTCTCTCACCAGCGCAGAAAGACGGAACAGTTAAGATGGGACACATACACAGCGCTTAACTCACAATTGATTTAATAATTTGAACGCGAGGCCCTTCAAGGTGCACATCGAAGCAACGGAAGATAGAGATGTTGTTGAAAGGGAGAAAAAAATACAAAAAAGCAAAGCCCTCCTTCATTACCTCTATTTTCCGAACCCCTCTCTGGCTCGTGTCGGTTTCCCCCTTGTTTTTTCTTCTTTTTTTTTACTCGCAACAGTTAGGAATTCCCTATATATTAGAAGCGATCGCTGAAGCGCAAGAAAGAACACAAGTAATTAGGATCTCTGACTCAAAAGTGGGGAGGTTGACCCTAGCGGATATGGTTATACCCCACCAGCTCAGGTTGAGGCTCTGTACCAAGGGTTGACGAGGGGCCAAAAGGAGAATATTATTGTGTCGCCTGCCCCGCGGTACGTGCATTCCAAACGAAATGTGGAAAGGAGGAGAGCGAGCACTCTGGTTCTTCTCTGCCAAGCTGCGGATATCGACAGGCGTGCCAGTTTCGTACACTCAGCGTAATATGACGACCATAGGGGCTGATTTACGGTCAGGGTGATCAACCACAAAGAGGTTACTGTTAATGCACCGTCGGTAAGCCCCAAAACTGCCAATGTAGCCAAACGGGTGCCCTTGTCTTGGCTCTCTTAGATCACCGTCTTGCAAATACGTGAAGCGATTCTCGAGCTGCCATTGGTGCTCTCAGTATTGGAGATGTGTTTAAAGAAGCCAAAAACATACTCCGCGAGAAATCGCTTACAGCCCTTACCCGTACATGGCTCCGGCTCATATATATGGTAAGCAGGGACGGAGGAATTATCAATCTCAATGAGTTGGCCTACTCCAGGGCACGAGGTTTAGCTGTCCGCGGCCGTGGAGGACCTGTGGGTCGACCTGGAGGTTTGGTAAACAGGAACCGCCAACTACATACGCTGAAATTACCCAGCATTTCGCTATAAATAAGAAAAACTTTCCACCTCCACATAGGAGGCTAAATAGGTCACGACATTGCGGATACTTCAAACGGAAACGTACCCTAACCCTGCCTTTCTCCACATGCTTTCTCCTGAGGTTTATTTAACTAACTGTTGTACGAAATGTGGTGGTTTAGCCACCTTACACCACATGCTCTAGGAGTGCCTTTCAGTGCGCCACACCGGTACAGGATCGTCCAGCAAGTGGGAATCCGCTCTGTGGAGTCCGGACGTCACATGACAACTTTGGGCTGTCCAGAGGGCCCACGATGCGGCGGTAAGTCTCGGCCTTACTGTTCTGTCGTGGGTGTGGCGCACCGTGTACTATAGGGAACACGTCTTCGGACTTTCAGAATAAAATCATCCCAAACAAAACCAAAACCAAACTCGTGGCAGCTGCGCTCCGGGCCCTCTACACATGAACGCGTGAAGATATCGGGCCGCGGTTGCGCGTCACCGTCGCCATTTGCCATGCCTCGCATACGGCAGTGCGTAATCATTCACCCTTAATTTCAGCGTTGATTTTTTCAGTGAATGCGTGTGTGCTCATTATGTGATTTCCTTAATGAACTAATCAGTTTTCAAAATCTTTACAGTTACAACATTTGTAGGAGTAAGTGCTGAAGCGAAAAACCGTGCTGTCTGATTTAGCCAACCTACAACTTTCGGAGAATAAATATGATACCCGTGAGCATAACTTCTGGCTAATACCACGGTCACGCACAAAATATGGTGACCAAATGGTGCGCAATGTTATTCCCAGAATGTTGAATTATTTAAGCAACATTGATGCGAACACAGAAAAAATGAGCACAAATAATGTTGCATTATTGGTCGTATAAATATTCATGATGTCGTTTATCTCTTCGTACCAGTTTGCCCTCTTTTGCACTCTAAAACACACGCATACACAGCCTTTTCGTAAGAACTGCTGTGTCTGTGTCCGTTTCGATTATGTAATTATATATATTGACATTACCATATTTCTGTATAGTATGTTTTTTCAATTGTATGCTAATGCTTCCGACCCATTCATTTTAGGTAGCGGGAGCTAGTCAAGCTGCTTTAATACAGCTTTTACTCCCGCTATCCTTCACGTAGTCTTAAACATGAAACTGTTTGTGGCGCATTGCACATCGTTTACACTTTCTTTCGGAGTGCATGGTTCCTTGTGTTTCTGACGCGGATGTCCTAACTTGGTTTATTCAGACAAGGCCTAAAAGAAATTCTGTAAATAAGTCATGCTATTTATTGTTCCGGAAAGAAATATTGAAATGGCAGCTATAAGATTCACTGTCAGGCCCCGCCGTTTCGGCAGGAATATTTCGCGTGTGCTTAAAGTATTTCGATCCTTTATGCCTGCAGCAAGGTGAATGGCCACGAAGGGGCTCGCTGGAATTTCACCATTTTTCACATGTTATCTCTAAGCTACCTGCCCAATAGGTGATGTGTAAATTCGCAAAGGCTTATCGGATGCACGCACTCTCCACTGGCTTCCGGTTCAATGGCTGTCCGTCTGCTGCGTCACTCCTTGGGTATCGGCACGTGGGTGTCGGTGTCGCTCGCTTTCTTCGTGGCGTATGTTGCGACCTTCTAGCACACGTTAGCACAGCCACACCTACGACTGACCACGAAACAGGAGCATGTGCTGACAGTGCTAAATAATATTTTCATTTGAAATTACAATGAACGAACTGTACGTGCTAGCACGATTCTGTGTGTTTTTTTTTGGAATATTTAGAGGCGTAGCCTTGGTGGTCACACCTTTCAACTAAATATACACTTGTTTATTAACACAGATCGCCCACTAACGTAAATTTTTTTAAGTGTTTCTTTCAGTATGTGCGCACAGCTGCTTTTGCATTCGTAGTTACACCGCCATCTCAGACTGTTGGGTACACAGTACAGTGTATAAATGTTCAACGTGTGCAATGGGTATGTTACTAAAACTACGGGTTCAGCGGCGACGGCCTGCCAAAGTGTTCAATCGTTCGTGAATGACCTTGACTAGAATACAGCGCTGAAAAAGCTTTGAAAGCGAAATATGTCGGTGGTAACTTTTTTTTTAGTGAAGTTGAGCTGGAGTGGCATTTCCATATTGCATCGCCTGGGTGAAGAGGCTCGACGAGATGGCGCTCACCTCATAGTTGCCGTGTTTGTTATTCGTAGTACCGGTTCAGTTCGCGTGCGCACCAGATTAAGTATGAATATATTGACTACTACGAAACTCTGTATAAACCACTAAAGTTGTTTCACTCACTCACTATAAAAGAAATGCTTGGAGGGGCACTTGAAATTACTTGCTACACATTGTATACCTGTTCTATAAGTACAAGAGTGGGACACTTTTTCTTGGCTACTTAGCGTTACTGACACATCATTTTCTCCAACTGGCCCGAGGTCTTCACCTTCAGAACCACTTGCGGATTGTGTATACATAGCTGCTGTTCATGTGATTGACAAATGCTGCGTCTGTGAATTTCATGGCACCACGACTGGACTGATGTCATGCAGACGTCGGCTGCTTCCTTACAAAAATGTTTAGTAACGTTAAGCTGACTGTCTAAAGACGATTGTCACTAGAACACACCGACAATCAAAGAAGTTTCTACCAACTGTATTTAGACTCCGTTACAAACAATCTACCAACGCTCTGGCTGCAATTGGCCACCAACTTTGAACAGAATCGTGCTGTTAGGCTGTCCGGTGACCACGTAGTAACGCCCTATCAACAATGTTCAGTAGATGCCCTAGTAATTTTCTCTCAAAAGAAAGACTGTCATAGCCATTCTGGGGACCACGTAGTAATGCCCTATCAACAATGTTCAGTAGAAGCCCTAGTAACATTCTCTCAAACGAAAGACAGTCATAGCCAGTCTGGTGACCACTGTTACGACCGGCCCTGGGGAGCCAAGCAGGGAGAGTTTGGGGGAGAACCGGTTCTTGACCTGACGGTGTCGTCCACCCCCACCTCCCCATTCGGGTTCCTCCTCGTCGGGAGAGCTACGGGGTCTGCTGTGCGTTCGTGACCATATTTGGTAACATTTTGGGGCGCCGGGACCATATATGGACCTCGTGTTGGGTTGTGCCACTCCTTGTGTTGTGAGAGGTGTTTTCCCCTCCCTCGTGGCCGAGGTGCCGGCGACACCGTATTGGCTGACGATGCGGACAAGGCGCCCAGTGTCAACGGCTCGGCGCTATAAAATGCCGAAGACGTTTTGTATCACACGCACTCTTCTCTCTTTGGGTCAGTTGACCACTTCTCCACATGTAAATAAATCTCTGTTGTTCGTTCGGGCGCTTCTTCTCGCTGAATTTTGTTGGACGATGGATCCTGCGACGGGGCCAGCTACCGAAAACGAGACCGGCAGGACCCGGAGTCACAACAACTGGATGGCAGCGGCGGGATGCTGATAACCCCGAAAGCGACCACTGGACGGAGTGAGCCCGAAGTTCAACAACGGGACGACAGGAGAAGGATGACACGAACTCATCGACTTCCAAAGGGAATCGAACGGCACTTCTGAGAGGCACGACGCCGGAGACATGACTGCGAGCTGGGTGAGTGCCGGCTTTCTCTGTTAAATTTTACCAGGCATTTACTCTATGTGTTAAGTAAAAGCTGGTAGAGAGGGGCTGTCTTGGTCATTGGGTTAACAGGTAACTTGCGTCAGGCAGAAATTGTGTGATAGCTTGGTTAAGCTCTTTCTGTCAGTGGTGTCAAGGTTAACAGTGACAGGGCAGGATTCCGTGTAAGAGCTTTTGAAGCTTTATTTGTAGACTAAGTTAACGGAAAACTTGAGGCAAGGCAGGTATCTAGAGCTGTCGTTGCCGTCAAGGTTAATTAGTTGCAGGACAGGAATCTTTGTGGAACAGAGACAGCGGTACTGGAGGCAGCCATGAATCTGAAATCCCTGCGAAAGTCCATG